TTTCCATCATATAACAGAAATCTAAATTTTAATGCTGAGTTCTCAAGTGTAAGATAATCAAAAGGAACTAACATCATTCTTATGGTAGAGAAAACATAATATGAAGTTTGTTAATATTCCAATCTCGTGCCCCAGAAAGAATCAAAAAATGCTGAGGATCGTACGTTATCACAACTGGCAACAAAACCCTACTTTTTTCTTTAAATATGATCTGCCATATGCAGATTTTCTACAAACATATTATCCTCCTGCTCCTTTCCATAACAACCAGCATTTATCACTCAGAATTCCTAGCAAAATTCACTCAGGACTTATTATTAACTTGGAGACAATGTCATTATTATCAATCAGAATTAGTTACCCAGTTACATTCCAGTTTAGGGCGATATCATCATTAAGAGGAAAATTACATGACTTGGAGGGATATGTTTGCCACTCATAAGATCCAGCAACAGGGTACCGAAGCTGTACACAACACTTTCTGGTGTCACTCGACCTGCCAAGATGGGAATGCAAAAACGTCTCAGCTTTAGTGTAAATCTTGATGCAAAATGTCCAGCACGCACATTGATGTTTTAAACAGTTTACAAACTCTGTCGTAAACTACCTGAAAGTACCACAAATCTAATTCCTGTTTATAATAATTACCTGTTCTCAAGTATTCAGGAGGAGTAAAAGCCAAGTTCGTACTGTAACTTTTACCATCTCTACTATTCTTCATAAGGCCAAAACAAGACAGCCTGGGATTACCATCCTGTCAACCAACAAACTAAAAGTTATGAGGGAGACAAAAGAATCAATGGCCCGGGAAAAGCAGTGTGGATGACTTCACCTTATCAAACAAAATCCTGTAAGCATTGAGATCATGATATAAAGCTCTTCCCTTACTACTACAGTACTCCAAGGCTTGTGCCAAATATAGTGCCACCCTTAACCTCATTGCCCATTTCATGGGCTGGTTCTCCCCTACACCAATTCAATAACTTAAAAATCATTAAATGAGCAGACATCATGCATAAACACACACAAACACACCCACACACACACCCTCACACATTCACAAAAACCTATGTTAGAAGAAGCAAAAAACAGAGGTGATATTTGCTAGAGTTCTACATGTCGCGTAAGGATTTCCTAGGATAAAATTAAAATCCTTCATCCTTGACCCTGGAGTTCTATATGTCATAAGACAGACCAATCAAATTTGGTCATACCACCATTTAGCAGTGCTATTTGGTTCGTTTCTCACTCTCTCTAGTCAGAAGAGCAAAAAAAGAAAAAAAAAAAAAGAATTGCATTAATCACATTATTGTTTGGTTAGTAACTTCATTTACCTAATTAGTATTTTTATTATCTCAAGCGTCTGTGATTACTGAAGCAAATTTAGAACCCGAAATTTTTCAATTTTATTTTCATGAAAGAAAGAAGGGCATATGATGAAGAGTCCATAAAGGCCAACCAGATATTGTTGTCTTCTTTATCTTTTGAAAAAGGAAAAAAAAAAAAGTACTACCACGAAGCCAACCACCACCTCCTTTTGAGCACTTTAAGATAACCGATCCTTTGAAGAGACAACATTGAAGTCTTAACAAATATAATGATCTTAACACTATTTCAGCAATAATAATAAGAACAATGACATTAACACTGCTATTGCGTGATTAGTAATGCAAATAAATAACAGAACCCACATCATGTTCAAATTTTCTAAACTACAACGTCATTGCTTACATGTATATACATTTAAGTTGAATATAGTGAAATTAAATTCAAAAAAGAAGGAAATGGCTTGGCTTAGAAACGGAGAACTCACAGTGGAAAAGATGTTTGGCAAGTGTTTCATTGGGCATAAACTCGGCAACAAGCAACCTCTCATCGCCTTCGCAGCAACACCCAATTAGATTCGCCAACCTTTCACTTCTCAGATTTCCCACCGATTTCGCCTCCTCCTAATCAATCACATTTAGCCACTTGATTCAATATTTGGTAACAGTAAAGAAAAGTTGATATCCGGAAAGAAATAAAACAAAAAAAGGATATTAGGAATGTAAAGACAGACGAGAAATTGGCGTGGATCAGGCCACGCGAGTCTGTTAAATCGCTTAACGGCGATATAACGGTCCTTATCGAGCTTCCCTTTATATACAACATTGGGAGCTTTTTCACCGTGCTCCGAGACTATGTTATCCGGGGAGAAACCAGACGTGGCTGCTTTCAGTTGCTCCAAGCTGAACTCACCGAAACTCGGCCATGTATTTCGGTCGTTTTTGCCCCCATTTTCTGCATTAAACGACAAGAAAGTTTATTTCCCGTACTCAAAATCGGAAAAAAAAAATAGTAATGGTGAAGAAAAAAAGAGTACCGAGATCAGATGATTCGAGGACGGAGGCTTTTAGGTGAGAGTGGAACCAGCAGAAGGAGAACTTAGAACAACGGGCTCCCATCACGGTAATGGATGAGATAGGAAAGAGTTAACCGGAGGTCAAAGGATCAAATGGCGAACATTGCAGCCCTGCGATTCCAGTTCAGCGAAAGGCGTTTCAGGTTTGAGATTGAGAGGAAGAGAGAAATGGTGTATGTGGATCCGAGAGAAGTCGTTTCAGCTTTTTAGCTACCTATCCTAAGCCTGCTCTCTCTCTCTCTCTCTCTCTCTCTCTGTGAGAAAAGGGAAATGGTTAGAATTAGATTTTGTTTTTATGTTTATGAAAATGGCGAATATGTGTGTAAGCCACGTTTTCATGAAATTGCAAAAGTGACTTTTTCTCTGCTTTTTTCTGCTGCATCTCATCACACTCATAATTTCCTTCCTCTGTGATTTTTTGTTATTGTAAATTTCATATCACTGAAGGGGCAATTCTGGGATTTCAATTAAATTTTTTAATTTTAATTTTTGGCGGATAATGCAATTCTACGCGCAAACGTGGCACACTCTGTGGATTAAAATGTCAATTAAGTGTGAAGTCGTTAGCGGATTATCCTTAATAAATCTCAATTAGTTATGTTAATGCTTACACTAATCACTAACCAGCGTTATCATTGCAAATTTTATTATTTGGATATAAGTTGTTGTTGGTTGCCATTTTAATTATATTATAAATTCTTTAACATTTTAATTTTTTTGGTTCAACCATTTATGTTAAGTTTAGTACTTCAAGTAAGCTTTTATTTTTGAATTTATATGTATTTCACTCAAAAAAAATTACATAAATTAATTAACAATCAATAAAAAATATGAAAAATAATATGATTGTAAAATTTTAATATCTTATATTTACTATTTTTTTTAGATAGTTATTTAGTAAAAATAATGGAGTTATACTTTTATTGTGAAAATGTAAAATTTGTACAAAAACTTTAAACAAATTAATTTTTCTCACAAAAATAATTTAGTTAAATTTTTTGATATCACTCAAGTTTACACATGTGTTTTATTATCATCTTAGTTAAAGTATATTTTATAATTTGTGAATTTCATACCAGTAATATGATAGTAAAATTTCACACAATAAAATATTTTCTATTTATTTATACTAAAAAAATAATGAATCATATATATTAGTAATAATATGCATGTATTTACTACATATATTATAAGGTGGGTGTCTCAATGTATACGATCATGATATTTATTCGTAAATAAAAATTTAGTTAGTTATATTTAGAAAGTGCAAATCAACTAATTTACAATCAAACAACATACTTTGAAATTGTTGAAGGCAACTATCACTCTTCTATTTAACCTCACACTTCTCATCATATACTACTATTTTATTTAAATCTCTACTAATTATCCCATAAAATTGGCAATTATAATGTAACGTTCAAATTAAATCTCATATTATGATATTTGACCATGCATCACGCCACCCATATATATTTATAAATCTTTAGCTAACTTTTCCAATTTCATTTAACTTACTGGTGATTTCTTTTTCAAAATATATTCAGAACAACAAAAGAGTTGAGATGAGGAGTCTGTTTGGCTTTATCTGGTAGATGAACATAATAGGTATCTGCATTAGTGATCAAATAAATATCTAGAACTTTTGTGGATTTGGCCACAACTAAATATGGAATACACAATAAGATTAGGTTACTATTGTGCGTGGTGTAAAAGAAATAAAAATCTAAGTAATTCCTTCTCATGAGACACCACTTTTGCATGAAATAGAATTTGGCATAATCCTACTCTACTTAAGGTGAAACATCTTGTGTCATATAAGGATATGTTGCATGTAAGAAGCATATTGAATGAAAAATGCATTCAGGTACAAAGTCAATATCCAACATGTAGAAGATAATAGTACATCCCTTTAAGGAATGTGAATACGCCAACAAATAATACAGCTTAGGCCCTATTTAAGGTAATCATAATCGCACATCTTCTTTCAGTTGATGGTTAGTATTTGGTTTAAATATATTGAATGAGAACTATAGAACCTAGATTATATTAATTTTCGTGGAGAATCTTGTGAAATAAAAATTCATGGGTCTTTCAAGATAAAAATGTGGAACTTTTCTTACTATTTCAAAAACTATATAATATATTCCTTGAAGTTCACAATGTACATGATAATACATATAGTCATAGTGTTAAGCAAGCAAGTAACAAAAGTAATATTTGGCTTCCATCATGGGAAAGGTTTAGTAGATGGGGGGATTGGTTTTGTAAGTAGGATTAGAATGGATATATAAATTTTACAAAAATGAGAAGAACACCAAATTAAATAAGGTTGAACTTGTTGAGATCTTTGTATTATTATATGAGTTAGAGATGGCAATGAATATGGACATCAAGCACTTGCATGTCAAAGGAAATTTGCAAATTGTTCACATGTTATTTCTTCACCAAAGAACATTATATGTAAGTTTAGAGTGTTTGGAAACTATGTTCTTTCTTATATGAATTTCTTTAAATAACTTTCTTTTATTTTTTGGATTCCAAGATTGTGTAATTATGTTGTAAATGCTTTAACAAAAAAAAAGAAGATAAGTTTATTACTTGAAGAGCATTCAGTTGTTTTTTATCCATATAAAGCAGAAGAACAAAACATATGACAAATCAAATATGGAAGGTAACATTTGATGCTAAAACAAACTAGTATTTGTTAGAATAATTTTATGTATATCAAAATAATAATTCTACTACAAATTTAAAAAAAAAAATTACTTCATAATATGTGGCGTATAAAAGTCATTAAAACTGTTCAAATATTAAATTATTAACTAATTAAATATTAAATTTTCTTTAAGAACTCATTCAATTACTGATGTAATCTCACGCTTTGACGATTTTTATTAAAGTACGTATACAAAAAAAAATGATTTTATGGTAAGAATGATGCGTAAAATCAAGAACTTGAAGTTAAAAATAATTGAAATGCTTAGAAAACTTAAGGACAAAGAAAAAAAAGAATATTATAAAATACTAAAACTACAACAAACTCAATTATCCAAAGTCATAATCATGTTTGAATGAAACGAAATCAAATTTCATTCAGCTTCTAATCTCCTGACTCTCTTTGTTTCCACTCTGTCTTTTATCTCTCAGTCTTTTGGTCCGCTCTTGATCTCATTCTCGACCTCTCTATCCTTCTCTACTTGGTTTGAACTCCCTTTGCTTCTCTGTTTTAAATCTCTTCACATAGTTAGAGTATCTAAATTGTTTGTTAATTTTGAAAAAGTAATAGAATAATCAAAGTAGAAAGAATACAAAAAATAGAAGTCTCATTATTTATTTTTAAATATTAGAGACTAAATTTAAAAAGTAACAAATAATTAAAAAAAAAAAACTGAAAGATGGAGGACCAAATTTAAAGTTGGTTTTATCATTCAAATTTTGAATTTTGAATGATAAATTATATATATATATATATATATATATATATATGTTTAGGTGATTGGATGGCAAAGTAGAGTTGGCAGGCTATACAACTAAGTTTGAAGCAAATTGACTCTGAAATTGCTTGGAATTCATAGTCAAAATTATCATATGAAAAGTGATTAAGAGAATAATTATAAATTGTTTTATAAGTCTCTGAATTGGAATTCCATCAATAGAGGTGGCTTACAAATTGGCTTTGAATGAAAGTTGTCAAAGCTTTTATGCTATGTAAAACCTATACATATTTCTGGTCTCAATTATGGGTTATTATAATATAAAGACTTGGTAACTCATTACATACATTAATTAGAAATTAAGTCATACTTAATTATTACATCTTTATAAAAATAAAAATAAAAAATGTTATATCAAATTTTTTTATTCTATGGTGAATATCTCAATTAAAATAATTAAATGTCATGAAATATTTTTTATATATATTCTTCACATACTTTGTATTATATTAGTACACAAATTTTGTATATATCTTTATACCTGATATTTTATAACGTTTATTAAAATTATGGTGTGAGATTTAATTTATTTTAATTAATATATAACTAATTTATATAATTGAAGAAAAACTATATATATAAATGAACTTCAGGTTCTTTTTGTATAATTTATAAACCCAAACTTTTGGTATTATAAACCAAAATTTCCAAAAAGTACCAACTTTTCCTCTACCAAACCCCCAAGTTTTCTCTCTTTCTACGGCAGAAGCCCCGCCGCCTATCTTATCGCCATACCTTCACCATTACAAGAATCCACAGGTGGGGCTGGTCTTCACAATTTATTAGATCTTATACTAGTGTACCTTTTTGCTTAAATTAATTTAGCAAAGCATTTTTTTTTTTTATATATGAAAACTGAATGAGATAGTGAATGAAGTATCGGCGAACTTGTTTTGACAAAATTTTAAAAAAAAACACTGTACTAATCATATGTATATCCGAGTTACCCTGCAAACGAAAGATATTGGCAAATGTAAAAATCTAATATTTGAAATGGGGAAAGAAGAGAGGATGGAAAGAAAGAGGAAAAAGTGGTGGGTTAGTAAGAGTTGAGAAGAATGATTAGTAGTAATGTTGCAGCATTTTCATGGCTTCTCTTTATTGCCTTTTGCAGCTTAAATTGCGCCACAAATTAATATTTGCTTTTGTAGACAACCATATGTGGTCTCCTCCATTGTCAACACAACCCCACATCCACCCTTCACATAGAGGACTTCGAAACAATCCTGCTTTCATTTCATAATGATGTCTTGTCTTGGCATATGCATTTTTAAATTTACCTCACTCCCAATCTTCGTTGCTTTATTCTATTTGTCATATGTATGTTTTTCTAAGCTCAATATACTTGTCCATCACATGCAACAATTTTAAATCTTTTACGCTTCATTTTACATCTAGCATTTGGGACCCAAATGCAGCATTTGTTCTTTCAACTAAATTCTGCTCGATACTAAGAGATTGATTAGGCTAACCATTAGGTGTAGCATTTAAGGATCTTCACTCTCACAACAAAATAGATTTTATCCCATATTTCTGGCATTTTGAGTAAGCATAAGACAAGTGAATTTTTTACTGAATCATACTACATTTTTTAGGATATAATAAATAAATAGTATAAACTTAAATAAAATCTATTGAAGAGAAATATTTTTCTCTTAAATTATCATTTCAATGTCTATTAAAATTGAAAATTTCAATCATGGTTATGAAATTTAATAAAATTGAAAATTTTATTCAAGTTCCCAACATTTCTCGCGGACAAAAAGAAACAAGATTAAAGTTTGATTAGGGCGATATTGGGCTTTTGCTTTTGTATCACCTTTATCTATATATATATTGAAATAAAATAATTAACGAATGTTGAATCTGAAGCATGCCCGTCAATGCACATGGGTTGCATACCAAAATAACAGGCAACGCCAAAAAGACACGATTCGATTGTGCATTGAAAATGAAATAATTGTCCTTTTTTTTTTTTTTTTTTTTTTCCTGGTTCCAATTTCTGTCGTTGATTGAACTGGAAGATTTTATAATGTTATATGATGATACCAGAAGAATGGGCATGATCTGTCCTCATGATAAAAACACAAACCACCATCCATGTGATAGGTTTGAGTTTCATCATAAAAGGAAATCCCCAGTACAGTATATTCATAAGTATCAACATGGTTGATAAATAATAAACAAAGAAACCAGAATCATTTTCTAGTTCTCCCGTCCACACAACCACATGCTCTTGGTCAAATAAAAATCAAATACCATGTGCCAAGTCCACTCTCACGTCTATATCATCTATCCATTTGCAATTTGCATATATATTAAATCTAGCAATTGACCGTAGTTTTATATTCTACAAATTTTTCACCCACCCACCCCTAAATGGATTGAACCCATAGCATCAACCCCACAAGCCATAGCTTATATAGCTTATAGGCTAATCTACCTAAATCTATCAATGCCACAGTTGACCATTTAAGGCATCAACCATTTTGTCCCCTCTCAATAATTTTGTCCCCTAAAGTAAAAGGATAAACCATTTTCATGAGCTGCAAAATAAAGCGAATTGCACATTTTGTACACCCTATGAAATGGTAAAAGGGACACTATCAGCATTAAATTAAAGAAGAAACAAAAAGCAACAGGAACTCGGGAAAGTCCATTATACACGCTGGTGCTGATGATAGATGATTGATGGGTTTTTAACATGAGAAACAGTGGGGCAGAACTGCAATTTAACTCTCTACAACACAAGCCAAGCCAAATATGTTATCGGCAAAGAAGCCAATCACTCCAATTAAACCCTTTAATCCCAAAGGCCTTCAACATTTAAGCATTGTTCTAGCAGTTGCGTCCCTATTCCAGCAGCAGCTTCTACAATCTATGCACCGTTCATTGCAGAATCATTGTGCATGACATTCCCATCCTCATAAATCTTGCCGTTGACTTGAGTTCTTGGCCTCTATACAAGTAGCAGTTATATTTAAATGTAAAAACAAGTCTTAATATCCATCTTACAACCTTTGAAAATCAAATCATCATACCCATTCTGAAGGGTCGACAGAGTTCCCATTCAAGAGCTTGTGATTTTCTTCTTTTGTTTTGCTATCCTTGTCTTTGCTGCTCAAAGGTAGCGACAGAGGAGGGGTTCCATTTCCCCGATCAGGTAGTTCTGAATAGCAATAACTGAAAGTCAGTCGCTGCTAGTAGATGAATTACAGCAAAGATGAAAGATAAAAACCAAGCAGTCAAACAACTCTCACCTGGCAATTTCTTGTCTAAAAAGAAGACCACTAAATTTACGGTGTACCTGCAGAAAAACCATATTGTTGCTAAATTATGGAGCTGCAAACGAATCATTATAATAAAAATAAAAATTGAATATCGCAAACAGTTCATACCAAGCAACAACTACATCAACTGTATAATGTTTACGGGAAGCCACAATTAAAAGGCTCTGAATTGCAGCAATCAACCAAGCAAATTGCTTTATGAACCTATAATTTAAAATAGTTAGAAAAGAATCAATATAATACATGTACAGTTTCAGCAAAAAAAAAAAACATCATATAGAACACATTAACTTATATCTGAGGAGAAAAAACAGGAACCAGAAACTAGACAAATAGGCCTTCTAGGGAAAGGGGGAAGCCCCACCTAGCACATAACCAATTGACAAGTGAACATATACTCCAGCAGAATACAGACCAACCTGAGCTAATCCTCCAATGATTAAAAGCAACTAAATTTGCATAGTATGCATGAAAATCACATTTAAAACTTTCTTCTGACATTTACCGAACTGGCAAATAATATTAGTTCCCAGGGATTTGCATAATGTTAGCTGGCCAAAATTTACCTTACTGTGCCATATTTCTGATATGTGAGAACAAACACTAGAGTGAAGATCATGTGCGATGAAAAAATCAAATCACCACAACCATATATCACACCCCGAGGAACTGCACATTTTAGAAAACAAATAAGTACAGAGTACGACCTTAAAGAAATTAAGCAAGCATTTCAGGAAAAGATGAGGACTCACAATTAATTAGGAGGACTTCAAGTACACTCTCTGGACGTGGCAACCTTGCAAGTTCTGACCCCTGCAAGGTAAAGAAAGTTAATATCATATACCAAAAAAGACAGAAATTATGCCAAAAGGGTGCAAAGAAATGTCTCACTGAACAAAATCATAAAAAGATAACACCTAGAACATAAATAGACAAAAAGCCAAGAAGCAGTAAATATCACCACCAAGAAGTTACAGAAACATATCAGGACTACCTCACGGCAATGGTAGTTTGGACCAGGAAGCTGAGTAGAATAGAATGTAACAATACGGAGTATCTGGGATGCCTGTGACAAATAAAATGAACTGAATCACTTTGACAGCACAATATGCTTTGCAGCAGTTAACAAAGAACAACGAAATCTTCACCATTTGATTAAAGAAATAAGTTACACCCCATGATCCTCTTCTTACAAAAACAATTTGGTGGAAGAGAAGGGGATTAGGGAATTAAAAGGATGAAACCACAAATTTACAAGCCTATTATAGTATTTTCCATACTTCACTCTCTTGCCACTAATTTGAATTGAACTACAAGTGTAAACATGAACATTCATGAACACCAATTTCAAGTTTCATTTGGACTTTGAGTGAAGTTAATACTCCAAGGTGAAAACCAACCCTCACATACAAACTTCAAAATATACAAGAACATATTAAGGGTACGTTTAGAAAAAATGAACTATTTCCGTGGAATTCGTTTGAATATGTACTTGGGATAAGCGAACATGAAAACTCAATTTCCAATAAATTGTATACAGTCCAGATTCCATTAAAAATTGTGGAAACTGGAAATAAATATGATGGTCAAAAAAATCTGTTCATTTGTTTGGTTCATATTCACAAAACTATTAAGGGTATACCAAATGAAGATGACTTCACAAAACTAAAATTTTCAAACGAGTTCTAAAAAAGTAATTAATTTTTGAAAAATATACTCTCAAGTCTAGCATACATGATAATTATCCTTGATATAATTCACCTATCAACAGTTGGAACTTCATCTAGAGCTTAATAGAGAGATCAATCAGCAGAATTACAATTCAGGGATTATTGTAATCAATGAAATCAACACTTACAACTAAAAATGCTAGAATCCTGCACCACACCAATACTGTGTAGATCTTTTTGCTTTTCAAGATGAAAGGATGGAAAGTCCACTGCAAAAAGTACATCATGGATTAATATATGAAGGAACACCTTCCTCCATTACCATTAATCATAAAAATCAAACAAAAAAGAACGTTAAAAGGAAGATTTGTCATTCATTACATGAACATCAGTTGACAAGGTATTAATAAAACAATCAAACCTCCCAAACACCAGTAACAATGATGGATAAACAGTACACCACATTTTATATAAAGGATCTCTTGCCTGAGAATTTTCTATGTAACTGCAATGTATTAATTAAAACAATTGATTTTGGTTTTAAGAATAGATAAAAATCTATGGCGGATTGGCAAATTCCACAGTCAATCATGTTATCTGCAAGCAATATAAATTTACTAGCAGATTAAATTCCGAGAAAACTGACAATCACACAACTCAATCCGTGAAATAGCATAAAACTGTGATCTTTGTTTTATTCCAAAATTAACAGACATGTTCTGGACTATCTCTGTCGGCTAAGCTTCTATCAGTCAGATAATAAGATTTAACCAAGTGGCTAAATTTGGCACATTATACCCACTTCAGTTCAGTACCCAGCATTTTTGTAAAGAGAATTAATAAATACAGTATGTTATTTCATAAGGGTCCAGATAGATATCAATATTGAAAACCAGTTTAAATGCCAGTTGTTCAGACTCATTTATCATTCAGAAAAAAACTCAAATCTTTGTATGTGCACAGAAGCCAAATGTCTTAGGAACCATTAATTTCTGAAAACTGCGTGATCAACAGATAAAACTAAATCTCGCAGCAATACCAGTAAATGCATCATAATGCAATTTTGAAGAGTTAAATGTTCCAACCAAACTTCTAGGGATCATATGCATAGTTTTTTTGTTAGCCATTTTATCTAAAAGCATACAAAAACCTGTTTAAGCGGCAACAATTTCAAAATGCAAAGAAAGTGCTGCAACCCATACCAAATAGAAGAAAACAATGGTAACATACAAAACATGATAAGCTTGGAAGCGAATAACAAAAAGATTACTGCAATGCAGGTAAACTTACCAAGACAAATGACAAAAATACACAGGTAAATAGAGTCTCGCTTATGTAACCTTTATCTTGCCCAAGTTCCTATAAATCAAAAGTAAAAATTAAGTGTTTGAAACAAAGTAGTTTATAAATTTTCTTTTCTAAGAAAATTATAGAATATCACATCTTAAGGGAGAATGATTGATACAGACCGGAAGAAGAAAAAACCCAAGATCCTGTAGTGTTGGGCCTGGTCGATGCAGATAATGAACTCCTCGTGCTGCTAACCCGTGTATGTACTGTGGAAAATGTTCACATACTTCACAATGTCAAAAATAAACATGAAAAAAAGGGGCATACCACAGGAGGCAAAAAGTCAACCTGTTAAACATAATTCCTCACAACTAATGACAAACACAACCAAGAAAGTGGTGTACCAAGCATAGAGAAGTTAGTTAACAAGTTCTATGCAAAAGTATCATTTAAGGACTTTCCATTTTTCTATGCACATAAGCATTAAAAAAAAAAAAAACCATTTCAAAGATATTTGCATAAATAATATGGCCACAGAGGCATATGAAGGCTTACCAGAATTTTGAAAATACAATTAAAAACATAGTGACACAGAAATCTTCCAAATAACATCTGAGAATGTCACGTTCTCATTAAATGTTATTACAAAAGCAAAGAAGGCAGATCATCATCTTCTTATTGGGCAGAAAAGGTTCAAAACAGCAGGCATTGAACTAATCTCGACGTTCATGTAAAAAAGAAATTGATAAAAAATGAAGCCAACTTTGTGGGCCGAAAGACAGATTTAATCTTATACAAAAAGCATAAGTTTCTCCTCAAGAAGTTACCAGATGCAACAAACCATGATCATAACCCTCTACCAGCTTGTACACTTTCCAATCCAAATGCAGAAAAGAAGAAAATAAAGATTGCAAATTGTGCCTTTAATTGAAAAAATTGAATCCAAACAACCGTAACTTCAAGCAGCCTCAAAACAGTATCGAATGCTCAACAGCCAGGTGTCTGAAACCTTTCTTCTCAAAAGAAGAAAATTGAAATTCTCAACTACGTTTAACAGGAAAACGTTCAGAGCTTCATATTGTTGGTATTTTTGTTTAGAATAAAATAGAAACCTGAAAAATGAGACCAGCAAGAAGGTACTTCCAGTTCTCGGTGAGGAGGTTGATCTCTGTGGTGATCTCTGCGCATATTCTCTTCCATAACTTCAAACACAACCAAAATAGGAAACAGAAAAATCATATCAAACCAAAAGGCCTCAATTTCTACCAAAGAACTAAACACAGATGATCACCAATGAAGAAGCATATAAAGAAGGAGAAATTGTGGAGGAGGAGGAGAAGAACCTTTGAAGCCTCGCGTCCTATATAAAGCGTCATCTTCTTGTCGTGTAACAACCAGTTCCATAGTACTTCAAAGCCCAGCAGTTAAGGTTAACATCATTCACAATGTCTCCCTGACACAGAATAATCTCGTAAAAAATTCCCTAATAAATAATCTCAAGTTCCACAACACAAATCTGGTTCGGAAACTTAATATCGAAATCCCCCGAACGAATTCAAATCGGAAAAAAAAAACGTCGTTGTTCCAACGGTTATCAGAATAAGGCGATCTATGATTCAACGACGAAGAAATTGAATTGGATCAGCGACGAAGCTTTCTGTAAAGGAAGCAAGGGAAGAAGCAGAGTCCCGGGATTAGGAGTAATGCAGCGTTTTTTATGAAAATTGAAGAAGGAAAAGCCCTGAGATTCCTCTCTCTCTCTATCTCTATCTTTCTCTCTCTCTCTGTTGCCTTTCTCGCGTTTCTGTCTGCAATAAAACGCGAGTTGAACACGGAGAGACAGTTGAAATAAAAAGAGGGCTTTTCTTTCTTTTTATTCAAACAAAAAAAAAAAAAAGTTAAGTACTAGTCTACATTATATACGGAAAATTAAATCCCCAAAAAATTAGATTGTGAGATTAAGGGTTTCAAAAACTTAGGAGAAGCCTTTACCAAAGGGGAGTTAATTAAATTAATCAACTTTTAATTAATTAATTAATACTAATAATAATAAAAGGGCGGCGATTTTTTAATTTAATTACAGTTATTTAGAGGCTGTAAATCCCTTCATATCCTCCGGCCTCGGCCTGCGATTACGGGTAAATTCTTTTTAATTTTTAATTAAATATTTAAGAAAGTCTTGATTATTAAATTATTTTTTATTAAATCGAGGTTCAGTTTGTGGACCATCAAATCAAGTTTATATTTTGTAGATTTGAAAAGTAGTTGAAATTACAAAAATACCCAAACCCAAATAAGTGTTGGCTGGCTGCCAAACGAGAATAACTAACGGACTCCCTCCTCCCCATTTTCAATTACTTTGAAAACTCTTTTGGTCAATTCAAATTAAATCCGGCTCACGTGAATTTTCAAATTTTGATGATTAATTATTGTAATTATCCTTAATTATTTTATTATTATCATAATAAATTAATAATTTAGTGGAGAGAATGAACAATTGTACAAATGGTTGATAAGTTGAATTTTGAATATTTGGTATATGCATTTTCACTTATAACAAAATTATTTGTTTGGTACAAAAGTTACAAAGTATGTCTGTCACAATTTTGTCATCACTCTGTTAATAATTTATGGACCATGTGACATTACACTTCAAGTGTGGTTTAGTTATTATTAGTATTTCCATTTTTAAAATTTTTGGTTGTAAAAACATGTTTTAATTAACAATAAATCACCCTAATAATTGAACTGAATTAAATGCAAATTTAGTTTTTGGTCTTTTTAAGAATTTCATTCATTAGAAACATAGTGATGTCTCCCTTATAAGTAAAAATATTTATATCAATAATATTTGTGTGGATGGACAAGTAGGAGATAATTCAATTAATAAAAACTAAATTTAAATATAAATTAAACTAAATACTATTCAAATAAGTGCAGGATTTGAAACGTACCAACAAAATTAAAATATGTCTGATTTCGTGGTGCCAACTTTATTTCTGTGGTAGTGAGAAATATAAGACAGGATTTTTAAGAGAAGTAGTTTGGTGAATTTATTCAAAAAAAAAATTGAAGAATGATAGAATGTTTCCTTTTCAACTTAAATGTCAAATTAAACTAAATTGTAGTTTTTTTTAATAAAAAAAATATTCATGTTTCGAGTCTCCCTTCTTTTCAAAAAGAGCAAGGATTTAAGCTTTACACTTACACTGTTTGGCAAATCAAAAGTAAATTTTTATTATAAAAATTTCAAAATATTTTTTTTAATGATTTTTAAATTAAAATAACTTCTTAAATAAATTATATGCAATTAAAATATCTTATTTGTTGACGTAAATAAACATATTAATATCCATTATAAAAAAATTCTAATAGATGTTATTATTACGAAAATTGTAAGCTAATCTAGTAAAAATTACAAGACAATCTACATTTTTTCTATGTAAATATGAGAGATATAAATATCGTAATTATAAATGATAAATTCTTTTGATTTAATTATTAGTATAATCATTAATACGTAGATAATTAACTTTCACAACAAACTTTTTTTATTTTAAACAAATGTCAAACCTTCAAGGATATCCCAACATTGGATTATGAGTTGAAGAATCAACCTTAGTTAGAAAAATTCACTCTCCAGTTACTTTGATAGAAAGTTTTTTTAACATTTCATAACAGTCTTTATTATATTATTTTTAAAAAAAAAAAATTTACGAACTGCCTCTACCGTTATGAATGTATTCATTAATTTTTCTCTATAAGAGTCAAGCTCCTCATCGCATTCTATCTTATAATTTTATAGTGTTCATATTCTTTGTTAACTTCTATAGGAACCATTTGATCAAATAAGTAGATGGAAATTTATTAATAAACTTGTTACCGATAAAATTAATTTATATTTGTTTAGAATTCTAATATTAACACAACATTGAAGATATTTATATACTCAATATTGCATCGAGAACATATATCTTCATAGATCATAAAGTCCACTTTACTCTTTTTTATTGAAAACTAAATATAGTAATAATATTAAATGCATACCAACACAGTACACAAAAATAAATATATATCAAAATATATGCGAGAGAATTCAAACAAAATAAATACAAAATTATGTAACATTAAGGATTAAGAGTTATGAGTATATATATATATATGAAATAAAGAATATTAGTATTAGTTTATAATTTTAATATGTATTCATAAAAATATAATATAATATATATATATATACTAGCAATAACGAATTAGTGGGATTAACTTTTTTTATTATTCTTTCCAAACTTAAACCTAACTAAACTTAGAAGCATACAAAATTAGTAACATAACCCAACTTGACTTTCGAGTCAAATTCAAAATTGACATTAACAAAAGCGAAGTACTTTGGCCAACAAACTTATGTTAGTTGATTGTATATTTATTTAGTAACATAAATTTTTTGTTTTAAAAAGTTTTAGGAAAAGAAGAAATAAAAAAAGAAAATGGGGAAAAGGGATGGGTACATGACAGGTGAGGTGAGGTGCTGTTGGCAGTGATGCAGTGCACGACACAGATGATAAAAAAGAAAAAAGAGAAAAAGGCATGTTAAGTAACATGCTCAAATTAATGACCAAACCAAAAGGGGAAAGGATTCAAATAATGCAGCAACCAATGGCCCTCTTACAACTTTCAGACCCAGTCAACAACCACAAACTCTCCCGACCACTCCATTTCTTAGGGCCCAATAATGCACTCACACACATATATCATGTATATATATATATATATATAGAACAATCTTAACAATTTTATAAATATTTTTGTTGTAATGCTTGTGATATTGTTTATGCTGTATATATAATTTACAAATTTTTTTTTTATGTTTAGTTAGGCTTTAAGTATATTAGTAGTTTAATAATAATATGTTAAAATCCCTTACTTTTAACAAAATTACTACTTAAACGTCTTTTCTATAAATTTATTATTTTATAACATTTTCCCAACGCCGTCGGCAACCGCTTGGTCAACGAAACAATTGTTGACGAGGAGACACGGAAGCTTCTCGAGATACGAGCGTCATATTTGCGCAAATTGAAAAATTCGTCGACAGCAGGGTTCGAACCTGCGCGGGCGAAGCCCAACAGATTTCAAGTCTGTCTCCTTAACCACTCGGACATATCGACTTCTGCGGGTGGTTTTTATTTATATAACATTTGATAAATTATTATACAAATTAGGACAAAGAGAGGATTAAATATGTTTGAAGGGTTAATATCAGGCAACTAATTTATATTTTCGTTATTATATGAAATATATTATGTTTTTTAATTGAATAAAAAATTAAGTCATTATTTTTAATTTTAGTTAAAATGCTAACCATTATGGATGCAATTAAAATTCATGCAATCATCGTGACTCATTTCAAGTTGTAAGATTGATTTGATTTATTAAATCAAAATCATGAGAATAAATGAAAGAAAAATTGAGGCTAATAATTTTACTTGAATTGGACATGGACTCAATCTAAAGTGTTTGATAGGGAAAGATCAACATTGTGGTTGATCTCAAACATATGATACTGAATGAAATTTATCCATTAAAAGATTTGTTTATGTTATTTTATTTTAAAATAGCTATTAGGGTATATTATTCAATTAATTTTTACCCATTAAAAGATTTACAAAAAAAATATAAATATTCCATTAATTGATGATTTTGTCTTTTCTTTTTATAAGTGTATTACGACAAAGTTTGATAGTGTTTATTGGTTTTGTGATTAGAAAAACTAGAAGCCCCCCAATAATTTTTGTTACTAATAATTCAACCGAAAACAACTCAAATGATTTTGTAAGCTTACTAAAAGATTTAAAGAAGGGGTAAAAAACAAAGAGACTATTTGTCGGCAAGCCTCTTTTTCTATTGCCCATAAGGTTTTTCTTCGGAACTATTAATGTTTTGTTTCCTAAATTGTCTGCAACTGCGAAATTTCTTCAAATGCTTGTCTACCAATTTTCATCTGTTTTTTAATTTAATATAAAAAATATAATTTACTATTATTATTATTATTATTTTGGCTTCAAATTAAATTTTTACTCAAAAATTTAGTTAAATTCTACATTTATTTGGGCTGACTGACGAGCCCATTATCCAAATAAACAGCCCAAGAGGCCCTTAACTCGAACCATTCAAGTTTTCAAAGTTTGAACCAACGTGTATTTACACAAATGCCCTTACCCGTCCAATCTTCTCGTGATCGACGAGGCTTCACTAAACCCCTTTTGTATCGTTTCCTCGCAAAGCCCTAATCCTCAACTTGCTCAACTACAGTGAATCATCTATTCAGAAATGGCGATTCGTGAATCGGGCTTCCTCTACAATGTGAGTTCAACACCTATTAGCATTCTATGTTGATTCGAATGAAAACCAATCATATACGATTAAATTTCGCTGAACAAAAATCTCTAAGGGAGGATATAATTTCTTCGAATTTTCGGATACAGATTTTTATCTGTGACATTACTTTCTTAGTGTATCTGCTGTAGTTTGTTTCGTCCGAGTTAATTTGAGTTTAAATCGAATGTATTAGGGAAATGTTATGAATTTGGGGGAGCTTAATTGTACGCCGTGTTCTTGCATAAATAGCGTCAGCAGGCTGCATATCTTTTCCCAATTTAATGCTAAACAATGCTTCCCAATTTTTGCTGGTAATTCCGCCAGAGGAAATCGAAACCGAATTTATCCGGGCAGAGTTCATCTCAAGCTGGCAAATGGAAGACCCCGTGAGTTAACTTGCTTTTCCTTTTTTCTTTATATTCTTATCGAGGAATGCGTCAATAGCATGGCTCTATTTATTTACTGGCGAGTATGTGAGGTTTTGTTCTTATTAAGATTTATTTGACTTCGTCTTCATCGAGTTCCGATGTGGTTAAATCAGCAATGTTGATTCAAGTGCTCAAAATTAAGTTACTCTCTTAAAATTTGTGTTGTATCAGAATTGAGGAACGTAGCTTTATGTATTAGGTGGAAATGAGGTCTGAAGGAAGGTCCATGTTTTGCTATAGACCTGAATGAATGCAGGTGCCTGGGAATTCTCTTAGGAGAAAAACACATTTGATATGGTAGTTTCCTTGTTCCTGGTTTAAATCCTTTGCAAGTTTTTCTTATAATTTCTATTTAATTTAGTGCAGCACCCGTTAGACAAGCTCGGAAGCTGTTGCCACTGAAGCCATGCTGGGTAAAAAGCGATGATGCTGCTGAGGAACTTATGAGTGGTGAAAGTATCTTATTAAATGAGCAAGCCTTAAAGCAGGATCTAGAAATTGCAATTGAGGAGGAGAACTACGCGGAAGCAGCGAAAATCAGGGATAGTCTTCGAGCACTCCATGATGACAGCAAAGCTTCAGTACTTGCGGCAAATGCTCGCTTTTACAAATCATTCAGGAATGGGGATCTGGCTGCAATGCAAGCCCTATGGACAAAAGGGGATAATGCATGTTGTGTTCATCCGGGTGCAAATGGTATAACTGGATATGAATTTGTGATGGAAAGCTGGGAGATTGTATGGGTGAATTATGAATTTCCATTGGAGATTGAACTGAAAGATGTTGAGGTTCATGTTAGAGGAAATGTAGGGTATGTTACTTGCACAGAATTTGTGAAGACAAAAGGTGGGAGTTGGGGAGCCCAATTTGCCACAAATGTGTTTGAGAGGATTCATGGTGAGTGGTTTATGTGTGTTCACCATGCTTCACCTGTTGACTTGTGAAAATACAAATGAGTTTTGATGTTTGGAGAATTATGGGCTAAGATTAGAGACTTATGATTGTCTTTTCAAATGGTGAAGCCAGCTTGGGTTGACACTTGGCCTTGGCCTTGGCCTTGCGTAGTTTCAGTAATAATTCATAACTTCACCTTAAAGAATAATCTTACCTTAGTATTATAAGTTAACCCGAGTAAATAAATTCTTTTTCCACCCACCATATGGATAGGGAAACACTTTTGTGAGTTTAGACAATAAGGGATGGAGTAGATGGAAGAAATGACATTTCATTGCCCAAGAGCTTTTATGAAATACACATTCCATTGCCATGTACTAATTAAATATTGATGAAATACACTAGCTATTTCGTCATTTATAGAACAAAACCAGCCACCCTCCACATGATAAATTAAATGTTTTATTTTTTATCAAAAAAAGTAATTTTCTTTCTTCTTTTCTTTTTCTTTTCCCAATTGCATGCAATTAAATTTTAGTAATCAATCTTTTGTTCAATCATGTGTCTGAATTAAATTTTTATTTGCATAACATGTCATGCAGTTAATTATATTGTTAATATTCTTTATTGATTATTATACTTTTTCTTTTTTCGAAATGTAGTTGAAAAGTCTTGAACTTGAGCGATCAGCTCCATTATAAAAGGCAATACAAAATACAATTTAAAAATAGTAATAATATAAAACAATATAGTCAACTATTCTATAAAACATATTAGATAATAAAATTCACCTTAGTAAGAGTTCGATAGAGAGAGAGAGTGTATACATGTACCGAGAGTTTTAGGAGGAATAGAAACAAAGGAAATTTTACTAATTGTTTTTTAAAGAATTTAACATGTTGTAATAGGATGCTATTGGGAAAACATGTATAAATCTAGACTTAATTTTCTTAAATTGTTCTTTAATATTTTATTTTAAAACAACCAACAATAACATATAATATAAACATCAAAGAATACAAGCCACTAAAGATGAAGAAAATCATGTTATTTGCTAAAGATAAGTTAGTACAAAGTAGTGTCTTTTTGTTTTTTGTTTTCTTTTAGATCTAATTGAAAAACATGCAGATATGCTGAAAAAACATACTCTAATAGCACTAAGAACTAAAAAAGAGGGTGGTTCCTGCAAAATATATCTACCATCTTGGTTACAAAAAATTATTATTATTTTTTAAAAAAATGAGTCGATATCATTTGATTTTTTTTACCATGTTCATGTCATTTATATTGATATGTAACTTCTTAACTAACAAGGTAAGAAACACCTAATTTTAATTATGGACCCATTGATTTCTCTTATACCAAATGCCCCATAAAACATAAAGGTCCCATGTCCATGACTAAGGATAGGGTATAGAAGAGACAGATATGAACCATGGATGAAAAGCATCATAGGAACTTGGATTAAGTTGCATTGGATAGAACTTCACATTTTTTATGCCTACACATATTTCTAAATAGATGGTTAATATTTTTACCTACCTCCCTACACATATGACACATCAAATTTACTTGAATACGTTTATGTTTTAATCGACATTGAACATGCTATCTTGCACCAATCGTCATACGCAATGCTTCATCCTTGGTATTGTATTCACATACCAAACCTTCTTTCAATCTATTAGAGAGCTTATTGTGGTTAAGTTTACTTGACCCAATGTGTTTAGTTGCCATATCAAGTGATAATCCAACTGGACTAAAATTTTTCCATGATTATCAAAGTACCAAAAAAACTTGTCTAGGGGACCATTGTAGCTTAATGGTATCCTTAAGATTTCTCCAGTATCATTCGTGTTGAACGCCTTTTGTATTAGCTTTATATTCCATGTTTGTATCCCAGGGTGTATAAAATCAGAGAGTATCTCAATGGTTGTATCTTGTAGCTGAGGGTGTATAAAATATAAACAAATAAAACTCTATTAATTGTTGTTTTTGTGAAGAATTTAACGAGTTGCAAAGAGATACTACTATGATAACATGAAAGTACAAGGTAAAAATTGGTCAAATTAAAAGTAAAACGTATAAATTTAGATTTAATTTTCTTAAATTATTGCTCTAATATTTTGTTTTAAAAAACCAAATGTAACATATATTGTAAATGTCAAATAGTATAAGCAACCAAAGATGAAAAAAGTCATGTTGCTCGCCAAAGATAAGTTATAGAAATGTGGTATTTTTTTTTTTGAGATAAAAACTAAAAAACATCAACTATACTAGAGAAATACACTCTCACAGCACTAAAGGAACCAACAAGTGGTGATTCCTGCCAAATGTAGCTACTATCTCAATTACAAAGAACTCTTTTAACTCATGCATGAACTATCAAATTGAAATCTCTATCAATCCAAGTAATGAATATAATATTACATAGTTGAGATAGATATCAAAAATCATCTAACGCTAAACATAGTTATGAGTTTACCGCTATTGTTGAGTTTAATAGCTAGATAATCTGTTTATAATCTCCTTCCATCACAACTCTTGATACACCCACCTGATATGCCAACTATAGACCAAAACACATAGCCATTACTTCAATAATTTCTATCACTATGTAGCTGGTAATTATCTCATCTCGGTAATACAATCATCTACAATATATCTCTATAAATCACACTAAGGCATTATTTCTCTGTGAAGTATCATAATTCAATTTATACATAACTTGAGATGGAGGACACAATCTCCTAAAAATATTAGATGATGTGGGGGAGACCCCAGTTGAAATGACTTCATTTTTTTTTCCATGTCCAATTCATTTATATGGATTTATAATTTTTGAACTAAAAAAGATAAGGAACACCCAATTTTCTTCTCCACCAAATATCCCAAAAAACATAAAAGACCAATGACCATGAATGAAGACATGATGTAGAAGAGAGAATATTAACTAGGGATAAAAATCTTCATGTGAACTTGGATTAAGTCTTAATGGATAAAGCTTTCATACCTCTAATGCATATGCGTATTTTCGAAATATATAGTCAATGTCTTCATCCACCTCCCCACGCATAGGATACATCAAATTCACTTGAATTCTTTTATGTCTTAATCGACATTAAACAAATAATATATCTTGCAGCATTGCTATACATAATGCTTTGCGCTTGGTATTACATTCGCATGCCATACTTTCTTCTTATCTATTAGAGAGTTTATTGTGGTTGAGTTTGTTTCACTTGTATTTTTTGTTGCATGTCAAGTGATAACTTGAGTTCACTGAGAATTCTTCATAATTATCAAAATATCAAATCAACTTGTCTGGAGGAGTATTGCAACTTAATTGTATCCTTAGGATTTTTTAAGCATCATTTTGTGTTGAACACCTTCTTACATTGACCAAAATAATTGAGAACTTCATCTACAAACCATTAGAGACATACAAAAATGATAACAATATCTGGAGAGCCAAACTTACAACTTTATAGAAAAGTACTGATGCCTAATCAATTGTAACCTTTATTGTTTTGATGTATATTTATTACATCAAATTTTATGCGTAAAATTATATTTAAAAAAATTAACTAATCAAATAATATCATATGACTAAATTGATGATATGTTACATGATCATTAATAGTAATAGTGATCACTGACCAAAAAAAAATATGAATTTAGATATTTTTAAAAGATATAGAGATTAATTTAATATAAAAAAATATTTTTTTTATAAAAAATGTAGAGATTAATTTAATGCAAACTCACAATATGAGTGAAATCTAAAAAAATAAAAAAAAAATAGAAGAAGAAAGAAAAATTAAAAAAAGCAAAATTTTATTAGTCATTTAAATCTTGCATTTTATTATATTATTAATGCATATAATTCAGTTAATTAATAAAATTTATAAATTTTGTTGAAGTAGAAGACAAGTATTAATCTAAACTGACACGTTTTCTGACTTTTCTTGCGATGAGCAACGCATTAGTTACTAGTAAATTATGCCATATTATCTACACTTTTCGTAAAGAGGATTCGTTTCTGGAATCATATACACCGTCAAACATACGCAACACAAGTCGAATCATTCCCCACTCTATTCACTATGATAATCTCTAATATATATTCACCCATAAGTGTGTGTATATATATACATATATAACATAGCATCACCATTTACGTAGCTAGCTCGAGTTTTAATTAAAACCTCACCAAGAAGTTCAACCTGCAGGTAAATTTTTATTCAATGTCATCCTTCAACCTCTTCTTTTGTCGTAGCCGCAAATTTGATGATCCATTCATCGCCGACATCTGCAAACCGTTTCGGGAATTCAGGTATTACGGAACCCGGGACGAAGAAGCATCGTTTGGTGAGTTATCAAAGATGGATTGGAAGGAAACGCCGGAAGCTCACGTGTTGAAAAGTTACCTGCCGGGAGTGAAGAAGGAAGAAGTGAAAGTGGAGGTGGAAAACGATAACGTGGTGCGTGTGAGCGGCCAGAAGAGTATGGAGAAAGAGGAGACATTCGGTGACTGGCAACGCCTGGAATGCAGCAATGAGAATTACTTAAGAAGGTTCAGGTTGCCGGATAATTCTAGAACCGACATGGTTAAAGCTC